TTACAGTACGCACATTTCAAATGCTCCCATTTAGGAAGAGCTTGGTGACATCCTGCACACTTGTCTGGAGAATACTCATTCATCATTGAACCTATTCTAATTATTTTGGTCAGCTACTAGCAGGTAGCGTCATCTCTGAGTAATGGCAGACAATAACCACTTGCGATCGCTGGTCAATAACAATTCAATATGCTTTATAGAAGTTAGTTTAGCTACTTGCCGGAAGGTGGCGCTACCTGATGAATCACTAACTCGTCACTAAGTGACACTGTAGGCTTGTCGTCCTGAGCAGTGGAATGCAAATTCAAATGCAACAGATTTGCAACTGACAAATAAAAACAAAAGGTGTTGTACGTACAGTTTTCTCGGTATTTACACAGTTTTCGAATAACTCTTTACCGAAAAAGACCTCTACCACACACGTAGACACTTAGCACAATATTAATTAGTCAAAATTTAAATATTTGATTCAAAATTTAGTCCACGATAAGAAATCTAATATCCGTACACACGATGCAAGAAAACATTCACAAACACTTGCACTTGAAATTTGCGGTACGTACTACATAACCAACACGAATTTAACTTAATATTTGCACTTTATGTATTTTTATTAGCTTAAATTACGGGAGCTCAATGTTCACGTGACGACGGCAGGGGGGGACTTCTTGATTTGGGGTTTATTGAATAACTTATTGTACAAATCTTCTGCATCTAGACTGGTTAGACAGTTCGATTTTTTTTTAAGATAGACCAATTAGCTCACGTACAATGGCCCCAACGTGCCGGCGTAAGTGTGCAATGATCCTGTTCGTAAATTACAATGAACCATTGCCCATCGTAATTTGCGAAAAGTGTGGAACTTGATAAACGAAATTGTGAATACAAAGTGTTCCATGTAGGGATTCATGAATTTTGTTATTGAAAGAAAAAAAATTGTATCATCAAAACATGTGTTTATCTCCAGATTGTTTGTGTTTCATGGGCCATTTTTGAACAACCAATTAGACGCCAAATTAGCCATATATCATTTTTGTTACATAAAGGTTAAGAAAATTCTCCAAAAATTCTTTCAAAATATGTCTACGATGATACAGAGAATTATTAATTATCCCAAAATAAATGTTATCTAATAGGTATATGATTCGCGTAATAGGTATATGACATGCATTTTATTGTTTAATCATTTTCTTGGTTTATAATTTAATCATATATCCACCTGTATAATTAGTACTTTTTACCTGAATTACAGGATTCTCCTAGTTCAGGTATATGTTATATTTTACGTTTATTCGTATAATTAGTCTTTAGTTATTCATTTGTATAATTAATTCATTTCAATTTCAAAACGCTCGGCCGGGTTGCGAATTTCAATCTTCCCGTAGCCTTAAGCTTTCTATTCCTTCTCATCGCACTGATTTTTTGTCTAATTCTTTTACCCTTCATGCAATTCGTCTTTGGAACGCGCTCCCGCTCCGCGTAAGACAAGCTCAGACCAAATTATCTTTCAAGCGCATGTTGCGCAAGCATCTGTTTGACAATTGTCAAAATTAAGACACTGTATAATGTTGCTTTGGGTACATATATCATATTATTTATTATTATAATATATATGTATATGTAAGTTTATTATGTATGTATAATAAGTATGTTTATAGTATGTTACTTATTTATACCATACAAATTATCGATTAGTTTTCTAGTATATTGTCCTTCTTGTTTAAGTGTAGCACCAACCTGTTGTGTTTTTTTTTTCTGTTTGGCCCAATTATTGACTGGTAGAGAATGCCTTATGGCATTAAGTCCGCCATTTGTACTTCAGTGTATTGTACAATAAAGTATAAATAAATAAATAAGTAAATAAATAAACAATTTTATTTATTGTTATTATTAATGCAATCCGCTAAATACTGCCCTGATAAACCGAAAAACGCTATCTCAATCTGAATAAGTTTTGGGAAAATCGACTTTATTGTAAATTGCATTTTATGTAATTGTATTTTATTTAAAAATATTTCTTAGTAGTTTTTTAAATGTTTTAAGTTAGATAGCGCTATTTCTATTATACCATTAGATGCGAAATATTATAGCTATGGAATGGTATAAAAAAACTAAAAGTGCGTATCTCAGAGATAGCGCCTTTCGGCTTAGCAGGGCAGAATTGTGGTTGTAATAAATGTGTTTAGTGTGCCGAGTGGTGCTACTACTATTGCTTGTCTTGATTATTTACCTCACCTATCCTCACTTAATCCATCGCCGTGCTTGGTATACCTACTACCGTCGAGCAAACAGCTTATGATCAAAGAACTTTCACACATTTTTCCCAGACAAAGCTGATCAAAATCGGCCTATTTAAGGTATTTAAATTAATTTTGTAAGTAAAATACCACTCAAACACAAGACTATTTAATGTAGGTTGTATTAAAACCATTTTTAGGTCGTTACATTGTGAATTTTGGTAGGATTTGTCAGTTTTCTTCCTCGCGACCTGCAGTTGTTTTACGCCATTTTCGCAAATTTCCGCGAATTCCGCCACTACCCACGACTGTTTTTAATTTAGAAAAATAGTAAAAACATATGTTCATATGATTCTAGTGTTCATCAATAGCCATTTAAATGCTCGTCACCTTTAAATATATTTTGTTTCTTAATAAAATGAATATCTAAATTGGTTAAGAGTTAAAGCGTAAAATACTATGAGAGTGTTCGTTTCTCCTATCTGTTATTTCGGGACTCGAATCCGAACTACGTATACTTGAAACTATGACAAGAAGCGAAAGAAAGGAAGTAAGATACGCGGAAGCTAATGAATAATATTATTGAAAAGAATGCAAAGGAACTTTACTTAAGGAATTGAAACTATTTTTCCGGATTTAAATCGCGTATATTTGTTTTTTCAAACAAACCGACGTTTCGGGCCCTTTACAGGTCCCATGGTCACGGTTGACCATGTCACAGTCAACCCAGATGAAATATCTGGGACTTGTCCTGGACCGGCGATGGAACTTCGGGGAGCATTTCCGGCAACTTGCTCCCCGAATAGTGGGGCCGCATCGACGTTGGGCAGGCTCCTGCCCAACCTCGGGAGGCCGGGAGCCCCATGCAGAAGGCTATACGCCGGGGTGACTCGGAGTATGGCCTTATACGGGGCTCCCATTTGTAGTGGGGCCATATCAGCGGCGACGTAGGCACTGCTGAGGAGGCCCCAGAGGGTGGTCGCCCTGCGAATGTGCAGGGCGTACAGGACGGTGGCCTGCGCTGCCGCATGCGTCCTCGCCGGTACTCCGCTGTGGGACCTCGAAGCCGAGGTCCTGGCGGACCTCCGCCACCTACCGGCGGGGAATGAGGGACCGAGGCGAGCGACCCGCTCCCCAAGAGGTGGTGCGGGAGCGCCGCCTCGCGGCGCAGCGCATGCGGGACCGGTGGAAAGAGGGCTTGGCGGATCCCCCCTATGGCGCTCGTACCATAGAGGCGATCCGCCCTGTCCTCGTAGAGTGGGTAAACCGGTCCCACGGGCCACTGTCGTACCACCTTGTGCAGGTGCTGACCGGGCACGGCTGCTTCGATAGCGAGGAGTCCTGAGAGGCGGTGGCCTCCTTTTGCGCAGAGGTTATGTCGCAAAAGGAGGCCGCGGAGCGGGTGCGCGAGGACGCGGCGGACGCGCACCCGCTCCGGCGCAGACGTACGGGGAGAAGGCGAAGGCAGTTCGCTGCTCGCCTGATCCCCTAGTGAGACCAGCAGGCTCTGGACAGGGACTCCGGAGCGTGCATTGCACGGCCTCACTCGTCTGGGGGGCGGGTCGGAGGACAACCGACTCGCCCCTCCGTTGGCGGGGGAGCCCTGGCGCAAGCTAGGGCGGCCGGGCGGCGTCGTGGTGAATGTTCACTGATCCCACGGCGCCGACTCAACCGGTGAGAGGGAAACCCGGGGGGGTTTTAGTGGGGTAGGCCCTCCAGTCTGGAGGGAGAGTCCCCACATAACCCCTGAGTCTCCCTGGGCTCAGGGGTATCCATAAAGATTTCCCACCCGTAAAAAAAAAAAAAAAAAAAAAAGGGTGCACTTAGATGTGTTAATGAGTACTCCATACTCACTAAACGCTGGAAAAGTTGACTCAAGTGACTCTTATGTTCTTCCAGAGATGATGAAAAGGATGTCATCAATATCCGTGTGCAGTTGCTGGTCTGCCATCGTACGCGTCCCCAGGTGGCGGATAGGGGAACGGCTCCCAGATATGGGAGCTACCGGCTTCGGCCGGCGCGGACCAAAACCAGCAGGGAGGGAGGGAAGATAGCGCAGGTTCTGTCCGGCGCTATCTAACCTGCAACCGAGACGACGGGCGGTGTCCGGTCACAAGACCGGCTCCGGCCAGCCCGTAATCCTACATTGAGCGGGACCGGGGGTCCTCCTCATTGCGAGGAGGGCCGCGAGGAAGAAAACCTCTATAAAAATTACCCCAATCATAAGCTCTAGCGCCCGGCGATGGGATGAATGGCTGGTATGGAGGGTATCCGGGCGGCGTCGTGGTGAATGTTCACTGATCCCACGGCGCCGACTCAACCGGCGAGAGGGAAACCCGGGGGGGTTTTAGTGGGGTAGGCCCTCCAGTCTGGAGGGAGAGTCCCCACATAACCCCTGAGTCTCCCTGGGCTCAAGGGTATCCATAAAGATTTCTCCCCCGTAAAAAAAAAAAAAAAAAAAAAAATGGTATGGAGGGTATTCAGTCATTAGGTCGCCCCAGTGGGTAGCTCACCCCCCTTTCAAAGCAAAAATTGATATGGAAAAGGCTAGTTTTGAAAATAGTCCCAAGGCAGGTCCCCGAAAGGGGGAATCCCGCCCATCCGCTTCGGCGGGTGGCAGCTCCTCGTACTCTGGGGGGGGCAAAAACTGCCTCGTGAGTCGGCCGGAAGCCGACTCTCGTGAACACAACATGCGCACACGATCAATGGACTCCGATTTAGCAAACAATAGGGCCTAGAAAGAATGGTTCGAAGGCCTCCAATATGGAGGTGAGGATTCTGTCCGACTGTGAGTCGGAGGGTGAGAGGATGGTCTCGGCCTCCTCTGACGTAGAACCCACCCTCTCGGAGGGGAATTCGCGCGCGGTGTCGCGCTCCGGGTCGGCCAGAGAGGAGGAATCCTCAAGGGCCCCCAAGCGCGCCGCCCCCTCGTCAAACGAATCTATGGAGCCCGAAAGGACACGGCCCGTAGGGGCAGACCTAGAGGCCCCGGGAAGCCCTTCCCCGGTGCGGCAGGGAGAGGGCGCTCCAGCTCGTCAGAGTGGAACGCCCTCCAGAAGGAAGCGGCAGGGTCAGGCCGGGGAGTCTGAACCCGATGGCATGGCGGGCCTCATGCGAGAGACCCTGGCCCAGGAGGCACGAGACGGCCTCGCAGCAATATTGGCGGAGACCGCCAAGTCCTCTAACCTCAAGGGGACGGTGGTCAAAGCCATAAAAGAGGCCGTCATAAAGGTGGAAGGAGCCGTCGATTTCCTTCACCGTGGAGAGACGGCGACAGAGGCGGCGCGGCGGATGTCGGAAGACAACCGCCGGATGTGGGGGCAGCTTGCTGCCCTGGAGACGGAGGTGAAGGCCCTGAGGGGGGCCTACTCCTCTGCCATGGCCAAGGCCAAGGCACAGATGGCCCCACCGCCGTGTAGCTCCGCGGAGATGCACGCGGGAGTGAGGGAGGCCATCGATGATCTCAGGCGGGACATCTTCTCCTCGATGAGGAATATGATAGACGCCCGCCTGGGGGACATCGAAAGATGCCTCCCCGCGGAGTACCTACGGCCCCCCCTGGGCAGCAGAACAGGGGCACCCGCCCCCGAGGCGACGCCTGCCGCCATCGCCGTCGCCGCAGCCGCCCCCGAGGTTGCTTCCCTCCGCCGCGGTCCCCGAGTCGACACCGGGCCCCTCTGTGGCCCGAAACGCACCTGCTGGCCAGCGGCCCAACAAGAAGGCCAAGAGGAAGGCTACTGCTACCCCTCCTGCGGCGCCTCCCGCCGTTCTCGCCGTCCCTACAGCCCCTGACGCGGCAGCCTCCACGTTGACTTACCAGGCGGAAACGCCCTGGTCACAGGTAGTCGGCCACAAGCCCAGAAAGGCCAAAACGGCAGCTGCCGCCCCCCAAGCGGCAAGGGCCCCCGCCAAGGCGGCCCCCAAGACGGCTCCCAGACCCAGGGCTCTCGCCACCCCGAAATCATCGGCGGTGGTGATCACGCTGAGGCCCGAAGCGGTGGCGGAAAAGGGGGCCACTTACAAGGGGGTCCTAGAGGCAGCGACCGCTGCGGTCGATTTGGGCAGCCTCGGCATCCCGCACGTGCGGGTGCGGAACACCCAGACAGGTGTACGCATAGTCGAGGTGTCCGTGGCGTCTAGCGCCCAGAAGGCCGACACCCTGGCGGCCAAGCTGGAGGAGGTGATCGGGTGGCTGGCGGCAGAGATTGGCCACACCAGAGCCCTCTGCCCGTCCAGTGTGGACAGGAGCGGGCTCTGCTTCCGGTGTGGCCTGGTGGGACACTCGGCTTCCGGGTGCACGGCAACCCCGCGGTGCTCGGTCTGCATCGCGGCTCGCCGTCCAGCGGACCACGTAATGGGGGGGCGATCTTGCGCTCCCCCTCCCACCAAGGGCAAGCGGAACCTCAGCCCCCCCCCCCCCCTCCTATTGAGGGACAAAGTATGGAGCAGTAATGCCAGCACGCCACCATATTATACTGCAGGGCAACCTCAACCACTACGCCAGAGCACAGGACCTATTGGTCCAGGCCATGGCGGAGTGGGGGGTTGCGGTGGCTGCTGTGGCGGAGCCATACATTGTCCCCCCGCGGGGTAATTGGGCGGGGGATCGGGAGGAGACGGTGGCCATAGTGGCGTCGACTGCCGGAAACTCCCACCCTCTAGTGGTGAAGGAACGCGGGTCAGGGTTCGTGGCGGCGAGGTGGGGAGAAGCCATCCTAATTGGGGTGTACTTCTCTCCAAACCGCTCCCTGGCCCAATTCCAGGCATTCCTGGAGACCCTAGAGAGGGCGGTGAGGAGGGCAGCTCCGACGCCGGTGTTGGTGTTGGGGGACCTCAACGCCAAGAGCGCGGCGTGGGGTTCCCCGGTCACCAATGCCAGGGGGCCAGTGTTGGAGGATTGGGCGGCAGCCTTAGGGCTGGTCGTCCTCAACTGGGGCCATGCCAACACGTGCGTGCGGCGAAATGGGGGGTCAATCGTGAGCATCACCTAGCCGCGCGAGTATCCGGCTGGCAGGTTCTGGAGGACGAGGAGACCCTCTCCGATCATAAATATATACGGATGAGGGTCTCCCATACGCCGCCCACGACGGCCTCCAACACGGCCCCCGGGAGGGACTTTCCCAAATGGGCACTCACTCGCCTGGACCTTGAGCTCGCAGAGGAAGCAGCCATGGTCCAGGCGTGGTGCCCCCCACCCCCCCACCGGCCACCGTCGACGTGGAGCAGAGGGCGGTCAAGTTAGTCAGATTCTTTGCCGTAACGGTAAACAAGTAGTATACTTCAAGCAAGAGCTCTCAATTAAATATTTTAAAAAGTGTATTAATTCCTTGAAATAAGTGCTAAACTTGAGATATCCTTGTATTAGACACGACTTAAAGTGAAATCACAACTTTTGATTTAATTATTTGCTACAAAAGATTAATTGTATAGTGGCAAAGTGCACACGTCTCGCGCAGTGAACTACCTTCGGAAAAATTGTGTGATATTGTTTCGCAAGCAAATTTGTCACTGTTGCGAGGCGCATAGGGTCGATACTTGCGTGTGTTCAACGTCATCGCGTCGTCGATGCGTGTGCTGCGTCATCGGGCAAAGAGTAAGCATCGTAGACTGTACTAAAACATACCGTGCCTCCCAGAGAATTAGGGAGTTCGTAAGAGTTTTCTTCTTCTTCGAAAATGAATTGTGTGGCGTGTAATACTAAAATAAACCGCGGCGAGGTTCTGGCCTGCGTTACATGCAAAGGGCATTATCATTACAAATGCTTAAATATGCAGCTGCAAACCTATAATGCCATCAAGCAAAACTGGCTATGCCCGTCCTGTACTTTGGTTACAAGACGCAACAAAGGCGATGAAACGCCTACACGTAGGCAGTTTGAACCATCAGCCGCAAAAGTAAACATGTCTTGCGATGAATTACATCCTTCTTGCGTTACACCTAAAGAGTCTTATGAGTGCGCTGAATCCACAAATAGTAGTAACATAGCCGAGGTTTTAAAAGAATTACGTGAGTTTAGAAATGATTTTACTACCTTGAGAACTGATCTTCAGAAAATAACTACTGAGATACAGGCAATCAACGAGAAATTCAACGACATGGAAACCCGTTTCAGTTCCTTGGAAGATAGGCTAATTATAGTCGAGAATAAAACATCGTTGATTCCAAAGCTCAAATCAGAGCTAGATTCTGTGAGGGAAGCGATGACCAAGCTCGAAAATGAAAATCACAAATTCGATCAGTTTTCAAGAATGAACAACGTTGAAATATCTGGAATACCATATACTGCAGGCGAAAATCTTGTGTCTCTGCTGCACTCAATTTGCAACAAAGTTGCGCTCCCGTTGGATGAGCGTGACGTCGACAGCATTATGCGAGTGAAGAGGTTCGAAGTGGAAGACAGGTCTAATAGCTCAGAGTCTGGCCGTCCGCGTCCTCCAGCTATCGTGGTCAAATTCACTAGACGAATATGTAAGGACAAGTTATTAGCAGCAGTGCAGCAGCAGCGCGCACGACGCGGCCTCATGACCTCCGATATAGGTCTATCGGGACCCGCACTTAACATCTTTGTATCCGATCATCTTGCGCCTCGCAATAAACAGCTTTTGAAACGAGCCAGGAAAATAAAAGCAGAATTGAATTTCTCTTATTTGTGGATCAGAGATTGCAAAATATTAATGCGTAAAAACGAGAAGTCTAAAGTGATCGTTATTAATAAGGAGACTGACCTTTCATTTTTAAAATGACTCGTAGCTTTAATTTTTTATTCGCTTTTTTGTTTTATATACATATATTTATATTTTTCTGGCATATTTAACTATATTGTAAGGATTAGGTATTGGATTATTTCTTTATTTAAAGTTTTACGCAAAAATGTGGATTTTAGGTTTAATGCAGTTTCACCATTTATCGATAGTTGCTTCCTTCATATAATTAATTTTAATTTAAAAACTATTATACATTGCTTAAGATCGGTTCACTTACTCGAAAACATATTAAATTTATATTATCTAACATACGGCGATGGGGAAAAAAAATACAAATATATTTTATCGTTATTGCAATGGATTCCAAAAGTAAACAATTAATAGGGTATTATCAGAATGTCAGGGGTTTGCGTACAAAATCTCATGATTTTCTCTTGGGGGTGGCTGCGTCTGACTATGATTTCATATGTATCACTGAGAGTTGGTTAACGTCCGATTTTTACGATAGGGAATATTTCGATGGTCGGTATGTTGTATTCCGCTGTGACCGTTCGCAGGAAGATACCGGCGCGCAGCGCGGTGGTGGGGTCATGATTGCGGTGCGTACTGAGTTAAAGCCGTTGCGTCGGGAATGGCCTATTCCGCCTCGCGCTTCGTCCGATTGTGTGTGGCTATCCATACCGCTGCTTGTAAAAGGTGACAAGTACCTACATATTGCCTGTGTTTATATACCTCACGGGCCAGGATATCGTGATGCATTAGAAGTATTTTTTGATGTAACTAGTGAAATAATTAACGACAATCCAAATGACATATTTTTGATAACAGGTGATTTCAATGTTTCGAATGCGGTTTGGCAGAAATCTTACACACTCGACCAGACATTGGTTAAGGGCGGGGATTTCGCAGTTGGTATATTAGGTGACTTCCTATCGTTCACCGGTCTGCGTCAATTTAACGGTATTCCAAATATTAATCATCGAATTTTAGACTTGGTAATGAGCAACATTGACTGCAAGACACTTCATTGTGTTAATACATTAACTGAGGAAGACGCGCATCATAAGTCTATTGAATTACGTATAAACATTAATCAATACAGTACACTAAAATCTGCACCTGCTTATAATTACAATTTTTGCAAAGCCGACTTCGAGTCAATTAATGGAGAGTTATTTAATATCAACTGGCATGCACTGTTTGAAAAATTGACCATAGAAGAATGTGTTTCAAAGTTTTACTTCATTCTTAATAGTCTTGTAAGAAGATTTGTTCCTCGTAAATTGATTCGCTCATCTCAATCCCATCCTCTATGGCACACCAAACCATTGAGAAAGTTACTTAGTGAAAAGCGTAAATTTCATAAACTTTGGAAACTATACAATAACCCATTGGACTATGAAAGCTTTAAGGTACTGAGAAAAAGAGCTAAGTGTATGGAAATTGAGTGTTATCGTAACTATATAGTGTATGCCGAAAATAAAATTAAAAATTTCCCCAAATATTTTTGGACTTATGTTAAAACCATTAAAGCTAACAGTGGATTGCCGGGCCAAATGTCATTTGATGGACACAAGACTAGCGACTGCAGTCGAATCTGTGAGCTTTTTAACAACTATTTTCACTCTGTTTTTGCCCAACCAAAGTCGGATCACGTGCCAACTGAGACATTAGAACATTCTAATAATTCGATTGTGAACATAAGTTCTATTGAAATAACTGAAGTCTTAGTAAGAAAATATTTGAAAACCATTAACGTCAATAAAAGTGCAGGCCCGGATGGAATACACCCGCTATTAATTCGGCATTGTGCCGATAGTTTAACAACACCCGTTACTTTTATTTTCAACTTGTCATTTGGTAGTGGCTGCGTTCCTGAAATTTGGAAAAGGGCATTTGTAACACCTATACCAAAGGGTCCTGTTAGTCAAAATATTGAAAACTATCGACCCATCTCGAAACTATGTCGTTTGGGTAAAATTCAAGAGAAAATTGTCACTGATCAGTTGCTTAGTGTAGTACAACGTGCTATCACCCAAAATCAGCATGGTTTTTGCAGGCAACGTGGTGTCAATAGCAACTTGCTGACTTTTACCGAACTTATTCTGGAAGCAATGGACAGTGGTTTTCAAGTAGATGTCGTGTATACCGATTTCGCCAACGCTTTTGATAAAATTTGTCACAACACGCTCTTGTTGAAACTGTGGCGGCTCGGTATACATGGGGACCTATTCCGTTGGATAAAGTCGTACATCGGGAATCGTAGTCAGGCTGTCGTCTTGTCTGGGCATTGTTCGGAATACAAGATTATACCTTCAGGTGTGCCGCAAGGTTCCCATTTGGGGCCATTGTTATTCGTGTTGTACGTAAATGACATTACAGAGTCTATAGAACATTCACGTGTTCTCCTATATGCTGATGACACTAAAATATTTAGGATTATTCGTAATGAAGAAGATGTTCATTTGTTGCAACATGATATTAGATCTTTCGAAGGCTACTGTGCTCAAAATAATTTATTTTTAAATCCTGATAAATGTTTTTCAATTACCTATACGAGAAAGAAAAATCCAAAAGTGCATACATATACCTTATGTGGAAAAAATCTTAATAGAGTAATGGAGATCAGAGACCTTGGTGTTATCATGGACTCTAAACTAACGTTTATCCCACACATTAATAAAATAGTTTCTAGGTCTTTCAAACTATTAGGGTTTATATTACGGATTGGTAAACCTTTTAAGAACCCATTTACATATAAGCTGCTTTATAGTAGTTACGTACGCAGCAGGCTCGAATTTGCAAGCTCTGTATGGAATCCGTACCAAAATGTACACCAAAATAAAATAGAAAGGATACAGCATAAATTCATCAAAGCTCTGGACTATAGGATGCATCATGATCACGTACACTACGAGTCATCCCTTAGGGTGTACAATATCGTTCCATTGCAGCAACGCCGTTCTCTAATTGACCTGACGTATCTATACAAAATTTTGCATAACATTGTAGACTCCCCCCTCTTGTTGGAAGATATATTATTTCGCGTGCCGCGAAATAACGAAAGAGCCAGTCGTAAAAAGGATCTTTTTGTCGTTAAGTTTAGTAAAACATGTTACGGTAGCAATAGTTTTATAAAAAGGACTTGTTCTTTATACAATGCAAAATGTAGTGAAACTGACATATTTGACACTTCTTTGCGGGAGTTTAAAATCCACATTAGCAAATTGAATATTTAAGAGCGAATTTGTGTTATCGTTATTAGTTGTTTTTTGTTCAACTTTCATACAATTTTGTCAACTAAAATACATTTACCGAGCATTGCTCGTATTTAATGAAACTCAAACTTGTTTACCTATGTATTAGTACAGGGAACTATAGGTTTAGTAATAAGTTAATGTTGTCTATAATTCATCATTGTAAAAAACTGTTTGTTCCTCAATAAAAAGAAAAAAAAAAAAAAAAAAAAAAAGTTCAAGGAAGACTTGACCGCCGTCTGCGAGCGGGCCATGCCCAGGGTCAGAGGGACCCCGGGCAAAAAGAGTGTGTACTGGTGGACCGCGGAGAAACCCGGGGGGGTTTTAGTGGGGTAGGCCCTCCAGTCTGGAGGGAGAGTCCCCACATAACCCCTGAGTCTCCCTGGGCTCAGGGGTATCCATAAGGATTTCCCCCCCTTTCAAAAGAAAAAGGATGTCATCAATATACCCATAGCAGAAGTCAAGTCCAGAGAGTACCTCGTCGATGAACCTTTGGAAAGTTTGTGCAGCATTTCTTAGTCCAAATGTCATAAAGGGAAACTCGTACAAGCCAAAAGGTGTAGTAATAGCTGTTTTAGGTACATCCGCTGGATTCACTGCGATTTGGTTATATGCCTGTACTAAGTCGAAAGTGGAGAAAACTGAACATCCAGAGAGCTGGTAAGAGAAATCATGAATAAGGCGTATTGAGTACCTGTCAGGGATGGTTCTGGAGTTTAGGGCTCGGTAGTCACCGCATGGTCGCCAGCCATCGTCCTTCTTCTTCACCAGATGCAGAGCAGATGACCACGGGCTTTCAGAACGCCTGGCTATACCGCCTGCCACCATGCCTTCTAACTCCTTTTTGGCTATTTGCAAGCGAGTTGGATCCAAACGACGCGGCTTGCAGGACACGGGTGGACCGGGCGTCGTTTTAATAAAATGTAGTGTTTTAAACTTTGATGCGGACTTAACACCTGGCAGGCGAGTTATCTCGGGGTACTTACGAAGCAGTCCGTGGAATTCGGTTTCTCCGGTGACGGCTTTGATAGACGCGATGTCCTCTGGTGATCTCAGGTAAGTGCCGCACACAGATAAAGTAGTGGTGTTGTCGATTAAGCGTTGATTCCTACAATCTACAAGTAAGTTATAATGACTTAAAAAATCAACACCTATTGTTAGCGTATCGTGACATTATATTATTTGATTTTGTTAGAAAACTTACTTTGCGTCATTAAGAATTAGTTTCATCGAAATAAGAAATAAATCGATAACATCATCATCGATACCAACGGAACGGTGACAGGCGGCCGTGATTACGAAAAGCATCTTTGACTAGAACAGACGTGTTTTGTTTTGTTTGGATTTATAGTGAAAAATCTTATAATATAATTTATAACAGTCACTAGAGTCTCATTTCTATGTCTACTTGGAAAGTTTCCTACAGATCAGAAGTGGAAAAGCCCTCGTGGTATAAATTGAGGATTAGAGAAGCAGTGTTACAATGGCGTAAGTAATGACGAAGTGAATCAATGATATTGGTATGTAAGTACATTCGTTTTACATCGCCAAAAATGTATACGTATTGCGTAGTTTAAGCAGGCGCCCAGAAAAGAGGGACTTATTGTTTATAGTTGTATTGTGTACGAGTATTGGATTTGAAACTGTTATTGAAAAAAAAGTAGGTACTTAAACGGTGTGTAAATAGTGTAAGGTACGATTTTCAACAAAGATTTTCGATAGATTATATCTTTTGGTGTGGCCCTCGGTATATACAAGAATAGAATACGATATTTTTAAAAA